GGTCACGTGTTTAAACTGGCGAGTCAAAGACCCAGCAAGATCTCTTCATATTTGTTTAAGTTCTGTGATTAGTGCAGATTACCTTAGTTTTATACCAGATTTTATTAAGTGGATTTCCTACTTCTTCTTCAGAGTTTAGTAATTCAAACACCATAATGGTTGTCGAATCAGACGACTCTGGTTTTCGCCAACTGGAATACTTCTCTTTAGTTTCAAAAGTTTGCACAGAATTAACAAATCATTTGGGTTTAGATGACAAAGTCCTGGGTAAGTTGATTGTTTGGATTCTTTGATCATATCAACTCTTTCACAGCTGAATTTGTTATTCATTTGGCTAAGAAAAATCCGACTTTTGAAAAATTCAAAAGTGCTTTGGAAAAGAAAGGCGCAGAGTTTACGGTAAGGGCATTTATTAGATTACCTTTGATATTTGTTTTCTTGTCCACAGGACCCATTAATAGCCAGTATTTTACGCCTAGTTGAGAAAATGCTTCCAAAGAAGGAGAAAGTTACTAAAAAGAAGGCATTAACATCTTCATCTAACAAGAAAGATTCTGAGTTAGATGTTGTCAAAAACAAACTAGAATTGAGAAAGCGACTTTTACCTGCTTTGTGTATGCCAAATGAAGATCCAAACGACGAGGTATTCGGTTTTCTCACTGTCATTAATGTCTTGTTTATTTTCCATCCAGCGATTGAATGTGGAATCTGAAAATGTAGAACCGTGCAGTGATACTGATAAAAAAGACGGGATTCGTAACAAATTCGTTCATCCTGATGAACTGGAAGAGGAATTCCATAGTGATAATATCAATAATAAAAAAGATTGTGTAGATGACGTCGAAGCTTTGGCTATGATTAAAGACTTGGAATTATTGTTATCCGGTGCTAAGGAGTAAATTTTCATGTTTATAAAAATATTTTCTTAGAGCATCATTATCTAAGTCAAAGCCACGTGACGAAAAGAAAAGTGAAGATAGACGGTTAGTAGTTTCCTTATTTGCTTGTTTGAATCTAGTTGTATGTTATAAATTCCCATTGATATTTGACATTTTCGCGAACAGTGACTTCAAAATATGAATCAGTCAGTCAGTCAGCTACAACGTATGTCCAGGCATATATATATATATATATATATATATATATATATATATATATATGCGTCGGTCCAAGTTGCCGCACCTCATTAGTACAGCACGATGAACACCAAATTCATAGTAGTTACATAAATAGTAGTAATATATAAAAGAGAGATTGTGTATAAATATATAATACAGAAAGAAGTATTTTAATCTCACCGTTTAAAGGCAGACAATTTATATGCACCTACGTGATTGTAATCGATTCTGAGTTGTGTCGTCCAGAGTCTACAACCATTGGTTACGATAATCGCGCGGACCCCAACCAAGTAGTTTGCATCTATCAATATGGCTCAGATCAGAAGTTAGTGACTTCAAGCACTGATGCCACGTTTTTGGTTTGGCCGTCCCTAACTTTCTTCCAACCATCCTCAGCATTGCGCGTCGTGGTAATCGGTATTCAGGCATACGCAATACATGATCCAACCATCTTAGTCGATGAAGATTTACAACCTCATCAATTGATTTACCATCATACCCTATGTTTTTGGAAGGTCTTAATATTGATGTTTGTTGTCTATCCGAGACCCGTATTCAAGACTCTGGCGAAGTACTACAAATTCGATCTCCATCTGTCACTTCAAAAAGCTTGTTTTACGTGCGCTTATCCGGGGACCCTGTGGCATCTTCGTCTGGTCTTGCTGGCGTTGGTGTCGCACTAAGCGCTAGAGCTGAGGCAGCACTAGTCGATTGGATCCCCATTAACAGTCGGTTATGTGCTGTTAGATTAGAAAGTTCCATCAAAGTGAGAAGAAATCGGCGTGAGAAACGATGTCTTTTCGTCATCTCCGCCTATGCCCCGACAGATTGCAGCCCGGATGCAATCAAGGATGAGTTTTACCACCAGTTATCTGTTCTTCTCCAGAAAGTGCGTTCGACAGATATTGTAGTACTAGCCGGAGACTTGAATGCTCAGGTCGGGCGTCTAGGCACAGAAGAGAGTCGTTTAGGTGGCCGATGGGGACTCGTTGGTCGCAGGTCAGATAACGGGGACCGTCTACTGCAACTGTGCACAGACCACAACCTGTTTCTGGCTAGCACTAACTTTCGGCACAGTCATCGCCGATGTGCCACCTGGCGTCCTCCCTCTGCATCTCAAGCCTGGACTCAGATTGATCACATCGCGATCAGCTACCGCTGGCGTGGTTGTGTACAAGACTGCCGCTCCTTTTGGAGTACCTATCTGGACTCTGACCATGCCTTGGTCTGCGCCAATCTTGCCTTACTTTTCAGTGGACAACGAAGTGACCACCACCAACGGATTGATGTTAGCAAGCTGGTTGCAACTTCTGTTGCAAGTAAGTATCGAACCGAGCTAGCCTCTAGGCTAGCTACCACTCCACCGAAAAGTATAGATGAGCATTGGTTGCAATTGCATGACGCCATGAAAATGGCGGGAACAGTCAGTTGTGGGTTTGCGAAACGTCCCGCTTTTAAGCACTGGGTTTCTTCTGGTTCCTTACAACTCATTGAAGCCCGTCGGTCTACTCCGGGTGACCGTGAGTTTGACCATAAACGAAGGATGTTACGTAAGGAAATTGGGCAAAGCTTGCGTAAGGACCGAGAAGCCTGGTGGTCGAGCGTGCTAATGAGCTGGAAGCAGCAGCTGCATCTGGTAACTACCGGAAGCTCTTCCAGCTCATCCGAGCCACTGGCAGCAAGAAGTCTGGTGTGAGTGAAACAATCTGCGAGGATGATGGGATGCCAATCACTAACATCCATCGACGTCTTGGACGATGGGCAGAATTTTTCGAAGGGCAGTTCAACTGGCCTGCTGCTCCGGCAACATCGGTCAGACTGTCCTGCCCTCCATGGCCGGTGACGACTGATCCACCAAACGAGGAGGAAGTCCGCAAGGAACTCCAACTCTTGAAGCGTTACAAATCACCTGGCCCAGATGACTTACCTCCGGCTCTTTTTAAAGATGGTGGTGACTTTTTGACTAAGGAATTGACGACGTTGTTTACAAAGGTTTGGGAACTAGAGAGTGTACCAACGTCATGGAATGAGTCGATAGTTGTCCCTATCTTTAAAAAGGGTTCACGTCGTTCCTGTAACAACTATCGGGGGATAAGTCTACTTCCGATTGCGTCCAAGCTATTGGCTTCCGTCATTCTTCGTAGGTTGTTCAAAACCCGAGAAAGATTGACTCGCGAGGAGCAGGCTGGGTTTCGTTCTGGTCGAGGATGTATTGATCATATCTTCACCCTCCGCCAAATGTTAGAACACCGCCATACTTATCAAAGGCCAACAATCGTAGTGTTTCTTGACATCAGGGCTGCCTTCGATTCGTTGGACAGGACTGTTCTCTGGGATTGTCTATTGAAGAAGGGTGTGCCTGAGAAGTTTATTAACATCCTAAAAGCCCTATATAAAAACACCTCAGGCAGAGTGAGGGCATACAACCACCTCTCTCCATTGTTCCATTCGAGCAGTGGGGTTAGGCAGGGTTGCCCAATCTCACCATTCCTCTTCAACTTTGCCATCGATGACATTCTGGAAACAGCTCTGATGAATGTAAGTAATGGTGGTGTGGATCTGTTGCCTGGAGAAAGACTTCTCGACCTTGAGTATGCGGACGATATTGTCTTACTGTGCGATAATGCCCAAGGCATGCAATCCGCACTTAATCAGTTGGCAATCAGTGTCCGTAGGTATGGTATGTGCTTTGCACCTTCGAAGTGCAAAGTACTTCTACAAGACTGGCAGGATTCTAATCCTGTACTCACCCTGGATGGTGAGCAGATAGACGTAGTCGAGAAGTTCGTGTATCTGGGTAGCTGCATAAGTGCTGGTGGGGGTGTGAGTGATGAGATCAATGCACGTATAGTGAAAGCCAGAGCGGCTTATGCCAATCTGGGCCACCTTTGGCGCCTTCGTGATGTTAGTCTGGCTGTAAAAGGTCGGATCTACAACGCGTCGGTGAGAGCAGTTTTGCTCTATGCTTGTGAAACCTGGCCTCTCCGAGTTGAGGACGTTAGACGACTCTCTGTGTTCGATCATCGCTGTCTCCGAAGGATTGCTGACATTCAGTGGCAACACCATGTCAGTAATGCAGAGGTTCGGCATCGTGTGTTCGGGCACAGAGATGATAATTCAATTGGTGTCACCATCTTGAAACACCGACTTCGGTGGCTTGGACATGTTCTCCGAATGTCGTCCCAGAGAATTCCACGTCGTGCATTATTTGCCGACTCTGGGACTGGTTGGAAGAAGCGGAGAGGTGGTCAGTGCATGACATGGTGTCGTGGCATGAAAGAAAGCTGCAAAGGACTGGCTTGTGTTGGTCCTTCACGACTCCCTGGTTGGGGTCTGAGAGATGGTGCTACACAGTGGCTAGAGACGTTATCAGATATGGCTCAGAATAGAAGCCAGTGGCGATCCTGCTGTAACCTTCTTTTACTTTCTTCATAAAAAGTGGTTGTGTCTCCCTTACCTGAAAGATTTCTTCCGATTGTACCTTTGCGTTCCCTGATTACTAGCACATTACCTTACACCAATCTCTTCGTTATTGTTCTCTCTTTTTTTGTTGCGCTCCTTAGCTTTTTTTTTCTTTCTTTGTATTCCTCTCGAATTTTCATTGTTTTGTGTGGCGCATATATATTGGCGCTCTCTTGTACCAATATTCATGTGTCCAAATAAATAAATAAATAATAAATACCCTACGTCTAACCTCACCATTACTTACCCGGTGATCCCAGCAGATGCGAGCAATATTTCTAACACATCTGTGATCAAATACTAGCAACTTACGAGTCAACATATGCACTTCTTCAACTAAGTAGCATAATTATTCCTATAATGTCTTCCATTAAATCTGATTTAGATATTTGTTCCATACTCTAGAGAGTTGATTTTCAGTCAGTCAGTCAGTCAGTAACAACATAGAACTTCGTACGTACGTACATCAGTTCGAGTTGCCACACCACATTAGCACAGAGATGCACTTGTCGATTCAAATCCCGTAGTGGTAGAGGTAATAAGAGTATAAGCAGTAATCGGGAAGATTAGGATTTGGAGATGTTATTTAAAGAGTATAATCCAGTGAAAGAAATTTGGAAAGAGGAAAAAAGGGACATGAAGAATTCAGAAGATTAGAATTTGGGAGAACACAGAGAGTGGATGCACCTGCGCCATTGCAAACGATTTTGAGCCATGTCATTCAGGGTCTCTAACCATCGGTTGCTGTCATCTCGCGGTCCCCAACCAGGTAGTCTACACCTACCAACATGACTCAGTTCACTTGTCAGTGACTTCATGGACTTGTGCCATGTTTTGGTTTGGCCGCCCCTAGCTTTCTTCCAACCTACTCCTATACCACTGAACATAGCACGTCGAGGCAGTCGGTCGTTGGGCATACGTAACACGTGTCCCAGCCATCTCAACTGATGAAGTTTCACTACTTCATCAATTGATTTGCCATCCTTACCTAGTACCCGTTTTCTAACAACTGTGTTACTTACTCGATGGTCCCATGATATATGAGCAATGTTTCGAAGACACCTATGATCAAATACTAGTAACCTACGAATATCCTCTACTCTTACCGGCCATGTTTCACTGCCATAAAGTAGGACGGAACGAACTGCTGCGCAGTAAACACGTCCTTTGGTTGATAGACGGATATCTCGCCTACGCCATAAATGACGCAAGTTGGCAAAAGCTAGTCGAGCCTTCTGTATCCGTGCTGAGATTTCGTCACACACTAAACCACAAGGGCTGATGAGACTTCCAAGATAAGTGAAGCGGTCGACACACTCAACTACTTCACTCCCTATCACTAGTTCGGGTGTCGATGTAACCCAATCCTGAAGCAACATTTTGCATTTCGAGGGAGAGAATCGCATCCCGAACATGCTTGCATTGTTGCTTAGAGTGGCCAGAAGACTCTGCATTTTGTCAGTGTCTTCACCAAATAAAACGATGTCATCAGCATAGAGAGTTGATTTTAGTACACGGTGCTAAGTAGTTGAATAATTTATATATACATTGGGGCTGAGTTCTAAATGTAGAGAATTCAATTATTTCTTTAGATCCGATATTTGTGTCCTAATTTGAGTTCATTTGATATTCTTAATAACGATTAAAATTTAAGTTATTGTGAGATTGTAAGATTATATTTAGAACTATGGTATAATATATACCCCGTACTGCATTGCTTTGTCTTTCGATCTTACGTGGCAACAAGTTGTTTCTATTCCTCCGTGAAATAGTTACATTGTACTCAATTTTATATAAATACTTGGTGTTTTTTCCCTCTAGCAGTTCAAGCTCGAAGTGCAGGGACAAAGTATATATTTAGCACTGTTTATCGAATTCCGGGACTATTCTTTCGTAGTTTTCATGATGGAGATTTGTTGTCTTTAATATAAGTGAAACTTTACTTGGAGCCTTCGCTGTGGAATTTCATCGTTTATACTTAGTTTTCTATCGGCTGTTTGATGTTATACCTTTCGAGTTTGCTTGTCTTGGTCAAAACATTTTTTGCGGAATGGGTTGTTACAGAATTTTTGGGACTTATACATTAATAAATGTTCTGGTTCACTCAACATATCTTTTTTATATCAGAAGGGTTTTGTGGATATTATAGTAATTACAATGGTTGAGATCATGAGTGAATTGAATCTAGACCACCATGAAAAACCTGGAAGCAGTGAACGGCCGTTTCGTCCTATTGTGGGGCTCCTCAGCAGTGTGCATCCATGACATCGCCTCGCGAGATTCCAACCCAGGACTTATCAGTCTCACGCTCGAGCGCTTAACCACTAGTCCGCTGAGTCGACATCCAACGGTGTTAATGTCCAACTCCAACCAATCCACGAAATTGAGCGACACATCCACCAATGTCTTCAGTGAGTTACTATCTCACAACAGACCCGGTTGAACTCCACTGGTCACTGCTTCTCACTAGAACTCCAGGAAATACCTCTTGAAGCAGTCACTAGTGAGTATATGTTGATTCATATCAGAAGGGTTTTATGGATACTATAGTAATTTCAATAGTTGAGATCATGAGGTCGTGGATGCGCACTGCTGAGGAGTCCCACAGTAGGACGAAACGGCCGTCCACTGCTTCTAGGTTTTCAATGGTAGTCTAGCTTCAATTGACTCATGATCTCAATCATATCTTTTTTTTACCAAACTTTTTAATTTGCGTTGATGAAAGATGGAGTTTGACTCACAAACCAGTATGTGATATTACCATATGTTCGGGCTTTTCACTATCGAATGCATATCATATTTAGAAATTAATACTCTCAAGTTTAAGACTGTCATATACTCTATATATTCCTATCTGTAATGTTACAGTTAGCAAACCTGATTCTGAATGATTAGAGATGATTGATGTAAACCCTTGGTTAATCTAGTTGTATTTACTTTCGATCGGTAATAATGGGATTCTACAATTTAAGCAAAGCTAGTGTTCGCCTATATGAATTCGAACATGCCTCTATGTTGACTCTAACTAACTAATGAATTTACATCATTCAGATCCACGATCGAAGACTTTAACTCTGCAGTGCTGAGTATTGGTCGTACAATATATTTAAGCTGAAAACAGTTTAATTGTTCATAGCATAGAGCTACTACCTCATGTCGATCATTTCAGTGTGTCTGCTTGACTCGGATTTTTCAGTATCATCAAACTCGATTTATTATTATATTTAAACATATTGACGTTGGTACAAGGAGGCACCAAATATATATGCGCCACACAAATCAAATGGTTTGTGTTGGGTCTGGGATACTGCCCGGGAGCCCAAATCGAAGCAGGTGGTTTCCTTAGGTGGCTACTCCTCGAGCCTCCGACCTACAGGTCTAATCCACAAGGCAGTGGGGCAACGTAAGGAGATGCAGTATCATGGTAACCGACAAACGACACCAGGTTCATACTCCTTTTGTTCCTTCAGGATCCTGGAGCCCATGTACACCATTGGTTTGAAATGAGAGTTTTTCAGCTCCACTAAGTGGGTCCTCCGTTGTCATCAATCCGGTCAAAGCGCCAGACATTCGCTTTTTGTCTTCTCAATTTCGTAAACATCCCCTCTTCAAGAGGGTAGTGAATAGGACTTCCTTGGAAGTGGCTGTATACTCGTGGCCATGTGAGAGCATTTCGAGAGGAGAGTTGACTATCGCCACTCTCGGCCGTACCAGGACAGTTGGGGGCTTTATCAAACTCTGGAGTTGAACCTAGAATGTAGTCACTGACTAGTATTAAGAGATTTGTTGCACTAAATTATTTTGACAGGCTTTTCATTGCTTTTGAAGAAAAGTACTTGCTGCCAGGATAATTAGTGTTTGGGAGGGTATTTTACATACTGATTTTTCTGAGATTTATTTCCGGAGGAAATTCTTTTTAGAGGCCACTGAAGTTGGTAACTAGTTCTGTTCAATTTTCGTTGACGCGATCAAAAATTTGTCCAAACTTTCATTTCCTGTTTCATGGCTATACTTTACATATAAATCTTTTAATCATTTACTGTATATAAAAAAGAATAGTTCAATTCTTAACTTGTACTTCTCTTTATAATAATAGTGCTCGTCGTTCACATTCTAAATCTCCTCATCGTTCACGACATTCAAATCGAAGAGCTCATCAAAGAAATCCTGATGCATCTAGTGATTATCGTGGTCACCGTAAAAAGTCCAGGTTAGTTATTTCTCTGGTATTTATTTTCATAGTTTTACTATTCCCTTTTATGTATTTGATTTCCGATGAGCTTTAAAGCTGATCTTATCAGTCTTATGTATTTTCCTGTTTAATAAGATTTCGGTTATTATTACTATTGTTATTTTTCATCATCCACTAAATGTTACGTATTATGATATCAGATTATTAGACAGGTTTTTCAGTAAACCTTATTCCCATTTTCTTACACTATAATCAGAATATGGTAACTACTGGTTGAATTGTTTTCACCATAATTTTCAATTATAAATATTTGATTGCACGGCTGTGAAAAATTCTGTCATTTAAGCAACTGCATACTGTGGACATTTGAGATGTTTAGCTTACACATTGTCTCCACTTTTCTAAAGTTTTTAACTGACAGTGAAACTCGTTCACTGTCGTAAACTTTTGCACTCATTTTTTGGGTATTTGATGTGTCAGTTTAACTATTACTATTAGTTTCTAGAAAATACCAATTATGAAGACATCTATATAAAGCAGGCGATCAAGACATTTTGATGCAATTTCGCAGGATCAGCTGACTAGTTCCAGTCTTATTATTGTCATTCTTAGGATTTACATTTCTCATCTGGTTTCTCTGTTTTACCAACTACTGACTCAAATGGAAAGTGAGTTACGTCTTATCGATAAACTATGAACTCTTGTTACGTGTTCGTCAAATTGATGAGGTCCTGAATTCTTTACTTTTAATCTTACTTCAAGAATAGTAAGACTTTAGATTCTAACAATCTGATTTCTGCAAAGAGATCCTCAACTATTCTGTTTAAACCATCTTTTCATAAAATCAATATGACTTCTTGAATCAGGAGTAAATGAAATCAAAAAACATCTTATCCGTCACTTATTCTGTATATTCCTTTGCTTTAACGTAATTTCTATTCATTGTAAAACCCAGTTGAATTTTGTTTGAAAGTGGAAGTATTATCACTTACATTTTAATTTATAAATACTAGATCACCTCATGGGAAAGAATCCAGATCGCCGTCGCCGCACTCCTCCAGACATCAATCTAAGGATCATTCTCCAGCTAACAAATCGTCTTATCATAGAGACCGATCACGAGCTGATCACATTTCACCTAAAAGGTATTCTCATGGTTCAAGTAGTCCAAATTACGAAAGTAAACGACTAAAAGATCTTCCTTCAGAACCTATTGTGGGCGATATCTATCGTGGTAGAGTTACAAATGTGCTAGCATTTGGAGCTGTTGTTCAGTTAGATGGACTTCGTAAGAGATGGGAAGGTCTGGTGCATATTTCTCAGCTACGTCAAGAAGGTCGTGTAGCCAGTGTTGGCGATGTTGTTAATCGTAATCAAAAGGTAACTTATACATTTTTGACTTAACAGTTAGTGCTTCTTTGACTCTGCTTATAAACTATGGTAATAATAATAATAATAATAATAATAATAATAATAATAATAATGACAAAATCGACAATATTATTAATTTCGAGATATTCTTAACCATGAACTGAGATTTATTCTGAAATCATGAGGAGATAAAGAACAGTGGAATTCCGCATAATATACCGTTATAACGCCATACATAATCTAACCCAAGATCTTTTGTTTAATTTTAGTAGCCATGGCAGTATAAAGGCCTGTTAAAAAATACACTTAGTTGTGATGTCCTGTTACCACTGGAAGACTTTTCGACTGTACCACGTGTTGGTAATTATTTTTTTTTAGACAGTAACTATCACACTGTGTTGTAACGTGTGGATTGCAGATTAGATGCGCAGCGTTTTATCGATCGAACCAATGACACGTAGAACACGTAAGGACGACCTCGAGTCCCGATTGGCCCTGCTTCGCTGTCTAGCCCAGCCAGTTGAGTCCAGAACACAAGTCTCAGCCTTTGAGTTATGAATCACTGTATTTCAGATATACTCTGTTTATATACCAACCAAACAAACCACATCATACCATAAAATAGAAAACAACATTTTGTACAATACTTAACAAGTGAACAAATATCGACCAATAGGGAATGTTCATTTAACGTCCAAGGACAACATTAGACTTAACATGATAATTATTGGTATATTTTTCCGAATACCCTAACACACTGCTCAAGTTGATTCAACCTTCTAGCAATTTTTTTCAGGGATAATATCCAAATCTGTGACTAATATGTTTATATACCAAACTATGAACCACATTTACTGTTTACTAATTGTCGATAGTGTTTCGTTAAAGCGTTATTTAACTAGCTAATCTTGC